GCGCTGAGCAGTTAGCTAGCGGCAGTGTTCTTCTGCAGATGTCAATAAACGGCTGTGCTCCCTGGCTAGCTCACGGGAAGCAAGACCAAACGTACCTCCGTCTCCTCCTTGTCTGAGCTCGCCACAATATTAAACATATCAGGTCCCCATAAGGAGAATCATGTGCTAACGGCTGTCTAAATGACTCGGGTAAAGTTTGTAGCATGCATGCTTGTTGTTTTTGTCTGCTTCCACTTGTCTTTGCACTAGGATGATGTCGTCATATTCGTTGTGTTCCCACTAGTGCTGTCAGCGTTAATCTCGTTGAAATGACGTTAACGCCACAACACGGCAAATGTCAATGTCAATACATTTTTCAAAAAATACCTCTCTGTGAAAAATGGGCTTAAAAACATAAACAACAACATAAACAACTGTGGGATACTGTTTGTCCGTGATTTCATTCCCCCCCCTGCAATGGCTCTGCGCCCCACACTTTGGGAAGATCTGCATTAAAGCATCATAGTCAAGGGAACAGAGGAAAGAGGCACATAAACTCTGACTGTCTTGCACTGCCCTCTGCTGGGAACAAGTGAAAACACTTTTACTGACGGTTGGATCAACATCCTGAGTTTGGTGCCAAACGCATCATTAAATAGGGAACAAGATCATCGAGTGAGGGCACACTGGCAACAACCACCTAGCATTACATTTTCTGCTTTCAATCGGTTGTACAGCACAGCTGTCTTCATGATGCTAATATGTATTCATATAGAGATAATAGCTTTATTTTATAGTATAAAAAATAAAATCATTACTGTTTAAGACAATATTAACATTTTATTGAGCAGAATGAAGTATAGGGTGAAGAAAAGTCAGAGTGTAATATCTCCATATAAAATGTTTAATTTGAAACAGGACAGAACAATTATATTAAAAATTAAAAGTAACAGCTGCTGTTGTGAAGCAGAGGCTCCGCTGGTGGGCTTTGGAGGTGACGAGGATCTTTGACTTGTTCCTGACCAGGAGTGGGCATTCCACCCTTTTCCTGCTGAGGACCGCTCTGGGTTACACCTCAGACCGTCAAATATATGAATGTTATTAGATGGATTTTAATTTTGTTCTTATGTAACTGCCATAAATTTTCAACAATGGCTTTAAAAAGAGGTAAGGAGGATGGCACACACGTCTTCTTGATAAAAGAGTGAATCAAATCCACCATTAAAATTACAACCAGTAGTTGATATCAGTCACATGCATATCTGGCAAGACACTTTGCTGTGTCGACACAACTCACTGCTGATTAGTTCTTAATCACTGAATTCCAGTTCAAACTTTTATCAGTGACAAAAGTGAATCAAAAATAAAAGTAAAGTAATCTCTGGTGTAACCTTTAATTTGATGATACACAAGATCGTAATATGCTGACTTTCTATAAGAAATCAAGGAATGTGCTGAAAGTCTAGTCAATTCTATAGTGCTGCATAATCAATTATCAGTCATTTAAAATAATTATCATACATGATTAGATTTAAAGGCTATTTGTGTGCCTTGAAACTTCTTCTGTAAACTCAGTGCTCTGCGCTTTTTAAGCTTTAACAGTCAGCTGCACTTGAAAGATTTTAAGTGTGACATACAGAAAATGGGATGAATCTTCATGGAAACAGGACGTTTATGGTGAGATAGTGCAAGAGTTCTAGTTCCCTGAGTTAAAATAAGGCACTACTGCTGAGCTGAATGATAAATTCCTTTTTAGTTAAATTTTAGTTAGAATTTTTTAAAGGAAGAAGTCAAAATATCTTTGCATAAACGAAATGTACTTTCTACAGATAAGATGTAGTAAGTCCAAAAGAAATGAAGCCCACGTTCAGCACTGGTTAGTACATTATGTTCATGTAAAAATGAATTGTTGGCATGTGCCATGAATTCAAACGTGCGCCAAGTTTCCTCTCCTCCCTGAGCAACATCTGCAGTTTGGTTGCTGTTTGGTTTGCTCTTGTGCACCTAACACTGCATCCACCAACTCTTCATGCACCACTGACAGTTACATTGTGAGTTTGAGTTTCTTCTTCATGTTTCTTTAATAAACTTTTTCTTAATTAGCATTTCTATCTGCACCTGTCTTGCTGCCATGGCTGTGTGGCCTAGTTTTGATAAAATCCTAGGCCATTTTCATGGTGCAAGGATCCTTCTTCTGTGCTGTATAATTATAATAAAATACAATGATCATACATAGTCCACTTTGGGTACAGCACAGTGCAGCGGTCCCTGTTCTGCAGGTACTCTGGTTTAGATCTGCAGAGTGTGAAGGGTTGTTTCTCTCTTTATGTCAGTTATGGACTGGAAACTTGTGAAGGGTGTACATTGATTGTATCAAATTCATTTAATAACAGTCTCTCTTTTTTGCCTTTGCCATGACTTCAGAGCAACTTGCCAAGTTTTTTAGCAAAATCAGATTTAGTTCACAGATGTTTTCTGTGCTGCCTACAAATTCCAATGAACCTAACCATCCATATTTATGTTTCCACATTTGTCCTTATTCATTTAGAAAAATAACAGAAATACACGATTAAAAGACACAAGAACAAGCATATCAAACAATTACCATAGCAAAAAAAGTAGATCCACATAAAAAACATACGGTATACGTGTTACAGTTTAATGTCAACTTGTCTATTGCATAGCATTTACTCTATATGCTTTTATTTCCAAAATAATGTTAATTATTATTATAATAGTTTTTTTCTTGATACTAACCAGGCTGGCTTTAGGTTTAGTGGAATTTCTTTTAATAACAAATAATTTTCACACAGACCTCTAAAGTAATTAGAATGTTAACTGCACTGTTGTAGACTCTGAATATGAAAAATAACCCAAAAACTGATAAAATATTTCTTGTTAAAAATGCTTTTTTAGCATCATATCAGGAGTGAGAAGAGTTTTTCTTATTTACATTTCACACATCCAGTGCAACTGCTTCAAGTCACAATTTCCATCATAGCGGGTCTTCCAGGGATTAAAGGCGGAGTGAACTGCAACCCCACAATGTTCTCCAAAATGTCCGCCGTTGTTTGGTTCTCCATCCATCCAGTACCTAAGAAAATTGCATCATGTATTGTTAACTTCAAACCACACACTACCGGTCAAAAGTTTTAAAACACCCAATATTTTCAGTTATTTATTGCAATTCAAGTCCAATGAATAGCTTGGATTGGTACAAAGGTTCACATCAGGTGAACTGTCAGAGGTAAAAAAAAAAAAAAGAAAAGAAAAAACGGTTACCCAATGTACATTTTAGAATTATACAGAAAGGCCTTTATCAGGGAACCCAAAACAGAGGTTGATGAAGCCTTGGAAGCTGGTGCTACTAATTCCATGCCATATCCTCTGGTATGCTCCTAGTTGGTCAGGGGTTCATCCTACAGCAAGATAATGACCAATACATAATTCCAAGCTATGCCAGAATTACCTGAGGAAAAAATGGCCTGTATTTGTATAGTGCTTTACTAGACCCTAAGGACCCCAAAGCGCTTTACACGTCCAGTCACCCAGCCATTCACACACACATTCACACACTGGTGATGGCAGCTACATTGTAGCCACAGCCACCCTGGGGCGCACTGACAGAGGCAAAAAAAGAACAAGATGGTAAGCTTGAAAACACGGAGTGGCCAGCACAGCCTCTACACTTAAACCCCATGGAGGTAGTTTGGGATGAACTGAACAGAAGAGTGAAAGCAAAGAAATCTACAAGTGCCACACATTCATGGAAACTGTAAGAGACATTGAAGAATTTTGAGTTCTATTGTAGAAATAATGCCACAGGTGTGTTCAGCTGTTATATCCGCCAAAGATGGCTACTTGGATGAGTCAAAAGTAAAAAATCAATTTTCGTCTATAGCTTGATTCTATGATTTTGAAGTCCCATTGCTTATTTATACTATGCTTTCATTTCAGAGTGCAATGACACATGAAACTGTATAATTTTCAATAAAAAAATGGAAAAATTGGGGTGGACTGTCATGGCTGCTACGGCAGTCATGTGGTGTTTGTGAAGGAAGGACCCAAAATGCAGGCAGAGGCTGTGATGCGAGTGATCGTTTATTTACAGTGATGGCAAAGTGACAAAAACAGGAAAAAAGGAACGGGGGGCTCCAAAACCTAAACTGGGAAAACTAACCTCATACAAACCCAAACTGAAACACAAAACGTTAAACACTGGGATACCTGGAAGCATGAGGAGACAAAAGGCACGGGAACATGGGGCGAGACAGGCAGGGATGACACGGAGAATGTTGAGCAGAGACATGCTGAGAAACAGCAACTAATGCAAACGGACCGACAACGAGCAAAGGCAACCTCACACTATGAGTACACACACAGAGGAACAACAAGGAATGGCAAACAGGAGGCACAGCTGATCCTAATTAACATGAGGAGACAAGAGACACAGACCCTAAAAGTAAAACCGGAACCCACAGGCTGGACTACAGACACAGACTCAGGGAAATGAAACAGAGCACAGATGGAGCACACTGACAGATAACTAGGCACACAGCAAAGGAGGCACAGGAAGAAAACCTCTCAACTAGAATACATAAAAAACATCAAATCGTCAGATAATAACCACAACATGAAGAATAACAAACACGAAACGCTGGGTCACCAACCCAGTACCATGACATGGTCTAAAACTTTTGATTGATAATATATATAATAAAATTAATTTATTTAACATAAAAGTATGAAGAAATGATTGGTGCTGTTCTCACCTTTGTTGCACCTCTGTGACATTATTAATCCATGTCCAGTTCCCCTCGTTCTCCATGTCAGTGAGTCCAATCCAGAATCCATTTTCCCACTTACTATCACTGGTTTTCATATTTTGGATTATGTTACTCACATATTTCTAAAGAAAAAGAAGAAAAAAAGAATCAGTTAACACCTAAAATAAAGTTTTCAAATGACCTAATTATAACAACCAATATAGAAATTAACTCATTTTCAGGGCACGACCTTGACGTGTACAGTGCCAGTTTGTGGCTACATTACATTCACCTGCTCTACTGTTTGTGAGCAGTTCGAGCCTGTGTGATTTGATCAGGTGGAAAAACTTTGTAATGACATAAAGACATCATCTTGTCCAAATGATGTTGTTCCAACACATTTCTTAAAAAAGATTCTCAAGGTGGTCAGTTTTAATAGCAGTCGTAACTCAGGTGTTGTGCCAGCCTGCTTTAAACATGCTGTTGTGCAGCCTGTGATTAAAGAAACGAATCTCGATTCCTCTGTTCTTGCAAACTTCAGGCCTCTTTCAAAGCTTCCCTTTCTGTCAATAATTTTAGAAAAGAATGTATTTTTTCAGCTGCAATTTCTATACAGTCACCCTGTTCTCGAGAGGTTTCAGTGCCTAAATTGCCTAAATTTGCCTGTCCACATCAGACAGGCTCCTACCCTCAATCTTTTTAAATGCTATCTTAAAACACAGCTCTACTCATTGGCTTTTAATGCTGCATGAGAGTTATTTGCTTATTTATTTGTTATTTGGCATTGATGTTAATGATATTCATTATTTTATTGTGTAATTTGTATGTTTGTACAGCACTTTGGTCAACACTACTGTTGTAATTAAATGTGCTATATATATAAATAAATAAACTACATAACATTTTTTTATTTTTCCATCACCTGTACCTTATGTTTATTAACAGGAAGCAGATTATAGCATGTTGACATGACTGTTTGCTGTTTTTTGCTAATTGTTTACTTGATTTTTTAATAACATATATTTCTCTTTAAATTTATTTGTTGACTGCATGTAGTTTGAGTTTTGGATGTCTATTCTGTTAAAAGCTGACCCAGAAAGAACAGCTGGTTCTTGGGTAATAACACCTAAATGAAGATAAACATACTCGATATGAACTTTATAATCAGCTCTACGATTAGCAGAATTTAAATCCATGTTAATCACTCTCTGTGGTCTCTTAGGCATGTAGACTTTCTGTCTATCTCACCTATTTTTTACAGTCATCCTTGTTTGTTTTCAACCCACCTGCTCTTCCTGGTTATCGATCACAACCAGGTCAGAGCCACGACTAACACAGTCCTCTCTGCTCTCATGCCAGTTCTTTTTGACAGTAGAGGACTCGGTGTAGGAGAAGAAATAGCAGGACGAGTTGAAAAGAGCCCAACCAGGGAGGCATCCGCCGCAAGATCCCTCTGAGAGAAACAAAGGATTTCTTGTCATTTCAGGTACTTTAATGTATTCAGAGTTCACAGAGTAAAACAAAGTTTCTCACCTAAAACTGATATGTTGGACTTCAGGTTTGCCTTCTCCACTTGCAGTGCTTGCATCTGTTTCTGATAACCATCATTGACGGTCTTCAGCTGCTCAATTTTCACCTTTACTTCTTTGTGGTTGTTGATCGCGCTCTCTAACGCCTTCTTGGCCTCCTCTTCAGCTTTGATCACATCGCTGTGGTTGCTTCGGAGATAGTCGAGCTCATTGAAGAGCTGTGTTACAGCTGGGTTGGAAATGTGCAAGGAGTCCTCTTTGACTTTGGCACCTGAAAATGTTTGTGTCAAAATATCAATAGTTGAATCACATTTCAAAATACTGGAAAATAATCTTGACACAGTTTTGTTTAGAAGGAACTAAAATAGTTTTTTAATCAACAAACTAGAACATTTTCTATTTAAAAGATGTGTTACTGCTTGTGTTAACATGATTACTCTAAAATCTTATATTGAAAGTGTGTTATCAGCAGTTTATCAGTAAGTTTCCAAATTAAAAAAAGTGGGAAACGAAACTTAATGTGAATTTTCACACTCACAGTTAACTCCAATAGCAACAGCCGTTATCAACAGCACAGCGTTCAGCAATCCAAGGAACGGTATAATCGGTGGGTACTTTGTTGATCGACCTTTAGCAAATAAACATAAAAATATTGTAATGTTTCAATGTTTGGCAGAAAACACAATTGACTTACATTTTCCTTCTTAGCTTCTTCTGCTTTGTAGGCATGCTTGAACAAGTGAACTGTATATCCTCACAGCTGCAATGAGTTTGCGGTCAAGCCACAAACCAGCTACATTAGAAAACACATCTTATTTACTGTAGCTATATTTAGGTTTATCTGACCTCATACAAATACAACTTCATATGCAAGCATCCTACAAAAGCACACAGGTTTAGCAAATATTTAAGAATGATTTCAACTAATGTTCTTCCACTAAAATAGGCAACACTGACTTCAGGAAACTACCTGGAAAAAAAAGATGAAATGGAAAGAAAAGAGGAGAAAAAGTGATGGCTAAACGAGTCACTGTGGAAGAAACTCGTACCTTGCCTGAATATATCATTGGACGGTGTGTCATTGTTCTCGTTTGGCCTTCTCTGTGGATTATCCATGACTGCAGTGTTGGTTGTAATGCCTACTGATCTGTCTGACTTCTCTTTTATAGCCTCAAAAAACTGACTTTGAATA